CTCAGATAGCCAATGGGTAAGTCCAATTTATGTTGTTCCAAAAAAGGTGGGAGTCATTGTAGAGACTGACCAAAATGGTAATTTGATTTTGTTTCGGAAATAAACTGATTGGCTTTAATGCATCGACTACCATAAGCTAAATTCAGTCACAAAGAAAGATTATTTTTCATTACCTTTCATTGATTAAATGGTTGAGAGGTTAGTGGGGAGATCTCATTATTGCTTTCTAGATGGTTTTTCAGATTATTTCCAAATTGCCATTGTACCAGAGGATCAAGAAAAGATGAAATTCACATGTCCCTTTGGCACCTTTGCTTAAAGGTAATGCCATTTGGCCTATGCAATTCCTCTACGACATTTCAACGGTGTATGATAAGCATATTTTATGAATATGTAAGAAAGACTATTGAGATTTTCATGGATGATTTCAGTGTATATGGAGGTGACTTTGACACTTGCTTAGATAATTTGGCTTTGATCTTGAAAAGGTGTCAAAAAACCAAGTTAATGTTAAATTGGGAAAATATCAATTTATGGTCGAAGAAGACATAGTTTTAGGTTACATAGTCTCATCCGAAAGAATAAAGGTAGATAAAGCCAAGGTTAATATTATCATTGTCTTACCCTATCCCACTTTGGTGAGGGATTTGTGTTCTTTCTTAGGTCATGCAGGAATTTATTGCCGATTCATTAAAAAAATTTCGAATGTGGATGCTCCTATTTTCTGATTGTTGTAAAAGGATTCTAAATTTGCGTTTGATGAAGAGTGTAAGAAGGAATTTGACAATATTAAGGAATTGTAAACATTACCGCCATCATTTAACAATCAAATTGGGATATACTTTTCGAGATCATGTGCGATGCAAACGACATGGAAGTATGGGTTATGCTTGGACAAAAGAGTGGAAAGATTTTATGGGTAATCAACTATGCATAAAAATCACTCAATGGAGCCCAATTGAACTATTCCACTACTGAAAAAAACCTCCTAATCTTTGTTTTTACTTTGGAGAAATTTAGATCTTACTTGTTGGGTACTAAAGTGATTGTATTTTATGATCATGCAGCTTTGAGGTACCTAATGGCGAAGAATGACAGTAAGACAAGGCTTATACGATGAATATTACTCTTATAAGAATTTGATATGAAGATTCGAGATAAAAAGGAAAGTGAAAAAAATTGGTAGCTGATCATTTAAGTCGTCTTCCTACAGTTCATGATGAACTACATTTAAAGGAGTATTTTCTGGATGAGCAATTACTTGTAATTTCTTGTTCTTCTCCTTGGTATGTTGATCTAGTGAATTATTTGGTCATTAACAAATTTCCTGCAGGATGGAAAAAAACAAAGAATGATAAGCTGAAAAGAGATACAAAATACTATATAGGATAATCCGTACCTATGTAAACTATGTGCAGACCAAGTCATCCGACGATGTGTCAAAACAAGTAAGTATGAGTCCATTCTGAAATTTTTTTATTCATTGGAATGTGGAGGACATTTTGGCTTCCAACGGACTGCAAGAAAAGTACTCGATAGTAGATTTTATTGACCTACATTATTTAAAGATGCTTATGAATTTTTCAAAGCATGTGACAAATGTCAAAGGGTAGACAATATTTCTACTATGAATCAAATGCCCCTAACACCAATGTTGTTTATTGAATATTTGATGTGTGGGGTATGGATTTTATTGGCCTATTTCCACTTTCATATAGTTTTTTTGTTTATCATACTTGTTGATTATGTGTCAAAGTGGGCGGTAGTAAAGCCCACCAGAACTAACGATGCTAAGGTTGTTGCAGATTTCCTAAAGTCCTTAATTTTCACTTGCTTTGGAATGCCTAATGCAATTGTAAGTGATCGAGGCACACACTTTTTCAATGAAATAATTTCAGCTTTGTTTCATAAGTATGAAGTTCTTCACAAGGTCTCAACATCAAATCATTTGGAAACAAACGGGCAAGCAGAGGTTTTCAATTGGGAAATCAAAGGAATTCTGGAGAAAATAGTGAGTCTAGATAAGAAGGGTTGGAGCTTACACTTAGAGAATGCTTTATGGGCGAATAGAACTGCATATAAAACTCCACTCGGGATGTCGCCCTACAGGTTAGTCTTTGGTAAGCCTTGCCATTTACCCGTTGAACTCAAACATAGAGCTTTTTGAGCTATTAAATAATGTAACATGAATTTGAGTGAAGTTGGAGAATGTATGAAATTATAGTTACAAGAGTCGAAGGAGATTCGAAACGAAGCTTACGAGAATGCCATAATTTACAACGAGAAGAGTAAGAAATTTCATGATGAAATATTTTGAGGAAAGATTTTAAAGTTGGCCAAAAGATTTTGCTTTATCATTCTCACCTTAAGCTTTTTCCAGATAAGCTTTGTTCTTGTTAGATAGGTCTATTCTTGGTTACTAACGTGTTTTCGTATGGTGCAGTTGAGATTAAAAAGTCTAAACATGAAAGAAAGGTTTGTTGTGAATGGACATCATCTTAAGCCTTATTATGAGGGATACCGGAGCAAGAAAGTAGAGTACTTAGCTCATTTTTAGTTGCGTAATTAGCTTAAGAGCCGTTATGTCTAGCCAAAGACAATAAACAAATCCGGTTCTTGGGAGATAACTTATCTGTTTCGATTTCATTTTGTGTGTTTTTAATTTTTATTGTGTTTTGCTAAGTAAGTTTCATGCCTTCTTTTGGTGTTTTGATGACAGGTAAAATATTCATGGTTAGATGAAGTAGAATGAAAATGGTTCTTAGGCGTGGCCATGCCCACAGTGTGTTGTGATTGATGGGAAGGAGATAAAATCTTTAAAGAAATTAGAACATAAAATCTCTTTAGGCGTGACCACACATAAGTTGCATTTAAGGGTTGGAGGAACTGATGAATATTAGAACGAGCATAACATAGAGATTCCTTAGGCGTACTCATCGTAGATAATTAAATAATATGAAGTTATGAGTAAAAAATTAAATAATTTGAAGTTATGTATTTATTTATTTTCTTAAACAACAACTAAACCCTAATTATTTCTCTTTCTTCTTTTCATCGTAGACCGTTGCCTTCTCTCACTCTCACCCCTATCATTCTCGCACTCGTATCGCTATCTCCTTCACTGATCGCAGTCGCCGCCCCCCTTCCGATTGTTTGCCTCGCAGCCATCAGCCAAAGCCTCCACCCCTTCTGTCCACCAGCATCTCCACCGCTGAGCCACAGCAACCAACTTTTGCCTAGCTGCGAATCAACAGAGCCATCAGCGTCCAGCCGCCACTATATTACACTGTTCAACAGTCTCAAGCCGCCGATTTGATTTTCAGGGAAGTCACGTCATCTCAATCTATAATTGTATTCTTTGGTTAACTCCTGTCGATTATTGCCTATAAAAATTTCTAAGATTAGTTGATGGTGCAAAATGGGTTTTAGGCGATTATCATGAAGTCTATTCTTTAAAATTGATGAATGGATGCTTTTAAATAATGACGTATATAGATGAATGGGAAAGATATTTTGGCGATTGAGATTGTCGATTAAGTTTGAATGCTTGTTTTTAGAATTTTATTGGCATTGGATTTCATTGCGGAATTGTAATTTGGTTGTTAATTCTCTTGCGTGTTGGAACTATGGGCAAGGTGCGAGAGTTAGATCCTTCTCCTACGGTGCGGACTTATGCGTGTGCCACTGATATGTGCTATATATGATAATATTTTGCTATATTTTAGGCAACCTTTTTATGCGGAATTATTTATATATGCTCCTCATAATAGTGTATTTTTTATTGTATAATAGGTTTCATGAAGTTGGTAAGTTTTGGGGCGTATTTCGGAGAAAAGGAGCATAACGCATAGAGGCCTTAGGCGTGATCATGCAAGTACACAATGTGGAAAATATAGAAATTTACAAAAAGACCCTCCATGGTAAATTGGAAATATAAAGATTATGTGGGGATTTAATTGCAAAGGGGGATCTAATTTCTAAAGGGATCATGGGATGGAGAATTAAAAGACACGATTTTGCAATTGAAGAGGATGAAAGAAAGGGACTACCACGTTCTTCACCACGACACCAATTTCTCAAAGAAGACAAGGGATAAACAAGAGCACGGCAGAGCAGAGAACTTGGAGAATGATTACAGACGACTTTTCGGGGCATTCTTCTTCTATTCTAGTATTGTTTTTCCTTATCTAATTCTAAAGAAATGAAGGCATGATGAACTTTTTCAATTGCTTTATGTTTTCGATTTCCATGGATTGTGAATAATTTATTTTCTAACTTAGGTATGAATTGAAGTTTGGGATATGAATTTGTGAGACTTGGTTTTGATTTTAATTTGATGTTTATTTGTATTGGGTACTTATAATATCTCTACTTGGCGAGATTAGAAATCTTAAATTGATATTTATGGCCACGTATTAGTTTGAGATTTTCATAGCTATATTGAGGATTGACACGCGCAATTGTGTAATCTTTCAATTGAAGTAGCAACCTAGAGAAAGAATACTATAGGGAGGAACTAAAATAAATTCCGAACAAATCCTTATAGGAATTTGGTTAAATTGAATTGGGCCTTTCAAGTTTTCAATGTTGTCGAGTCAGCAACACTACGATCGTACATAGGATTCTCACTCGATTAGGGAAATAGCTAACGGTCGTACCTTAGCTATAAAAAAAGTAAGGAAATGTTGGTTGTGAACGCGTGTAGATCAACTATAACTAATTTATCCAATAAACCAATAAACTTGATTATGGTCGATGAACAAATTTTCATATCCCAAATAGAAATTCGTGTCTAGGCTAGAGTTTAGTTAATTTTGGTATTTGGTTATATTTTAGCTTATTTTATTTTCTTTCTAATTCGAATTATTCTCCTTCTTTATTTAGTGTAGTAAATCAAATCTCAAATCCCCTATTATATATATATATATATACATTTAATTATAAATTACCAAGTTGTCAAATCTTTATTGTTTCTCTGTGGAGACGACCCTACTCACCATATCTATATTGCATTTTTCATTTTCTGTGGCGTAGGAATTAATATTTTATTTTGCAGTCGTGCGACAGACTTGAAATTTTGGCGCCGCTTCCAGGGAGCAGTATTTAGGATTTTTGATATTTGATTGTTTTTAATTAAGTCTCTTTCTTGCTTAATGGTTTATGCCTCGGACTAGTCGTACATGTGAATTAATTTTTGATTCAGAAATTAAAATGATTGCACACTGTTTAAGAAAAAAAGCTAGAGAGCAAAAGAGGGCCGAGAAAAAAATTGTCACAAGAACCTGACTTAGCTATCCAACTGGCTGACAGTTCTAGTTCCGACGAGGGTGAAGAGGCCAAGGAAATTGAGGAAGTTGTGACACATCCGATGGCACAAAGAACTCTGAGGGAGCTAGCTGTTCCCGATTTAATTCAGCATCCTTTGTGTATTACTTTTTATGCTATAGCCGATAATACGGAATTTGAGCTTAAATCTGGACTAATACATTTGTTATTTTCTTTTCATGGCTTGGCAGGGGAGGAACCACACAAGCACTTGCAGAAGTTCGATGTGATGTGTACGAGTATGAAACCACCGGGAATCACTGAGGATCAGATCAAGCTCCAAGCTTTTCCGTTCTCCTTGAAAGATGCAGCCAAAGATTGGTTGTTAAACTTGCCTTCCGGGAGCGTGACCACATGGATGTATATGAAGCGCAAGTTCCTTGAAAGGTTCTTTCCCGCATCCCGGGCTGCTAATTTACGAAAAGAGATTTGTGGCATCAAACAAGCATCAAGGGCGTCTTTATATGAGTATTGGGATAGATTTAATAAGTTAATTGCTAGATGTCCACAACATCATATTTCTGAGCAACTTCTAATCCAATATTTCTATGAAGAACTAACTTCTATTGACATGATAATAAATGCTGCCAGTGGAAGAGCTCTTATGAATAAGACTCCAAAAGAAGTTTGGAATTAGTTGAACGATATGGCCATGAACTCTCAACAATTTGGACCGAGGGATGTCGTGGGAGTTAAAGAAGTTGTCGAGGTAAGTTCTAAAAAATAATAACAATTGAATGAATTAACTGCTTTTGTGAGAAAACTTGCTGTAGGAAATGTTCAAGTGAAGCCATGTAGAATTTGTACGAGTGTTGCGCATCTTACCGATGGTTGTCCTATGTTGATGGAGGGGGTGGAAGTGAATGTTGCAGGATTTGCACCAAGAAGGGCTTATGATCAACCAACTTTAGTTATGGGAATCAACAATCCTATGGTCAGCAGCAACCGCCGGGTTTCTAGTCATATGGACAACATCAACCACAAAGGACCATGCCCCAAGCTCCCATTCCTGGTAAAACTCTACATGATATAGTTAAAACAATTGCCTCTAATATTTTGAAATTTTATCAAGAGACGAGAAAGAGTCTTAAAAACTTGGAGGATCAAATGTCTCAAGTTGTGAAATAGGTGTGGGATATGAAAGAGATGGAGAAAGGCAAGCTACCGGCTCAAACCCACATGAACCCGAGCAATGTTAGTTCAATAGTCTTACGAAGTGGTAAGGAGTTAGAAGGTCCAAGGTTGTTGCACAAAAAGAGAGAGCTGAAGAGAAGATTGTGGAGGAGATCGAGCAAGAAGCGAACAAGTCAACTGATCTGGTGAATTTTAAACTTCATATTTAATCTGATTCTAATATCGCTCCATTTCCCATAGGTTAACAAAACCGGCTAAAAGCTACAAGGACAAGGAGATTATGGAGATGTTTAAGAAAGTGGAGCTAAGCATTCCTTTGCTCGATTCAATTAAGCAAGTCCCCCGTTATGCGAAATTTCTGAAGGACCTGTGTACTAAGAAGAAGAAGTTGAGAGGGGATGAGAATGTGGTAGGTAAAGAGACAGTGTCCGCCTTGCTGCAAAGGAAATTGCCACAAAAGTACGGAGATTTAGGTATGTTTGTAGTCCCGTGTAAAATAGGTAAGATGAAAATCAAAAGAGCTATGCTAGATTTAGGTGCGGCCATAAATGTTATGCCTAATTCCATTTTTAACTCTTTGAACATTGGGCCTTTGAAAGAAACAGGGATAATAATTCAATTAGCCGATAGAACTAACGCTTACCTTGAAAGGATAATTGAGGATGTTCTTGTGCAAGTAAATGAGTTAATATTCCTTGTTGATTTTTGTGTTTTAGATGTGCATGATGAAAGTTCGTTTAATTCTTCACCTATTATGCTTGGACGTCCTTTTATATGTACTGCACACACAAAAATTGATGTTATAACAGGGACACTTACCATGGAATTCAAAGGTGTAAAAGGTTCATATCAATATTTTTGATTAATCGAATGATCCCGTGGAACCTTATGCTTTGTATTGTGTAGATGTCCTTGATCAAAATGTGCAGGATGTCTTCGAAGTTGGAGAAAGAAGGAAATTGCAGTTGCAAGAGTTGGAGGAGATTTAGAACAAAGATTTCAAAAATGTTAGGATTTATAAAGAAAAAAGTAAGAAAATTTCATACTCAGAATATTTTGAGGAAAGATTTTAAGGTTAGCCAAAAGGTTTTGCTTCATCATTCTTATCTTAAGATTTTTCAGGGTAACATTCATTCTCGTTGGATAGGTCCATTTCTGGCTACTAACGTGTTTCCATATGGTGTAGTTGAGATACAAAATCTAAGCACAAATAAAAGGTTTGTTGTGAATAAATATCGTCTTAAGCCTTATTACAAAGAATATCATAGCAAGGAAGTGGAGTGCATAGTTCTTGTTGAACCACGTAATTAGCATAAGACACGTTGTGTCGAGCCAACGACAATAAACAAAGACGTTTCTTGGGAGGCAACCCAAGCGTTTTAATTTTATTTTGTATACTTTGAGTTTTTGTTGTGTTCCTTAGTCAGTGTCATGCCTTATTTTTGGTGTTTTGATGTAGGTATAGTGTTTATGGTGGGATACAACAGAATGAACAAGGTTCTTTAGCGTGGCCATGCATCCAGTGTGTTGTGATTAATGAGAGGGAGAAACTTTTACATAAATCATAAATCAGAACGTAAAACTTCCTTAGGCGTGTCACGCTTAACGAAGCCTTACATTCTGAAAAATTACACAAAAATAGGATCTATTTTGGGAAATTATTAAATTTATTATTATTATTATATTTATTATTCTTATTATTATTATTATAATAATTAAATTTATTATTACTATATTTATTATTTCTATAATAATAATTATTATTATATCCATTAAATTCTAATCTTTTTTATTTCTATAATTATTATTATATCCATTATTATTATTATTATTATTATTATTATTATTATTATTATTATTATTACCCTCTTTAAACCCTAATCTCTTTTTCTCTCTCCCTCTCTCAAAAACAGCTGTCGCCCCCTCACTCTCGCTCTCTCAATTTTTCCTTCCTTCCAGTTCACCAGACCCAGCAGATCGCCGGTTTGCCGCAGAACCGCCAGACCAGCCAGCCAATTCTTCGCTCGCAACAGCCTGCATCAGTCGCCGCCTCTCTTCTGGTTCAAAGCACGTTCTACGCCGCCGTGCCAACAACAACCAGCCGTCTCTCTTCCGGTTCAGCCACCAGCCAGCCGCCGCAGCCATCAGCTGGTCCGCGCGTTCCCCGTACAGCCATGAGTCGCCTTCGGTTTGATTTTCAGGCACTATGACTAAAGTCCGAGAGTCAGATCTCCTCCTACTACTCCGACCAGTGCGAGCATCATCAGTCTATCCGTCAGTGGCCGGTCGCCCTACCTATTCCAGGGAAGTTTCTTTTCTCCGTCTCTTTTATTTTACCTTTATTAATGCAATAGGGACATTGCCTCAATAATGTGTTGGGGAGATTATAACTTTTAATGCGATATAATGCTTTATTTTTTATACACTTCCCTACATGTCCTCTTGAGTATGTCGAGCTTAGGTTGTATTGCTTAGCCTTCTAACAAAGTACCCTTAAGTGAGTTGTTTTGAGCCTTATTTGAGCAAATTCATTACATACATATCATATATGCTCAATTTTTCTTGGATTGTGTGAATATATGTTGTATTTGACTACCTAGAACTTGCTTGCTTGTGCTTATTGAATCCGCGTTTATTGAGAATTAATGGGATTAAAATGATAAGGCACTAAAATTACCCGTGTTGGCCTTAATTTCATATATTCACCTATATTATCCCTTAGTGAACCAAGTTTGAGTTTAATGTTATTATCTTATTTTTGTTGGTTATATTTAACCCCAAGCTGATAAGCCTTTTTATTGGATTAAGCCAAACGCTTACTTGAACCCATGGGAACTTGAGGAATTGTTCTTTGATTCATTATATTAGATCATTTAGATTTGCATTAATTATACGATATTATTCCGAAGTTGTACTTGAAAGTATTCATATTGTGGCACAATTATAATTTCATATATATTTTTTTCAAAAGTATCTTATTATCTAGCCACTTTAAAATAAAAAAATAATAATAAAAAAGGAGGTTGAAAAAAAAAGAGGACTCGTGTAAAAGAAATAAAGTATGTTTTAGTATTGCGTTGATCGTCGCTTATGAAATATTGTATTGTTCTTATTCATTCATATATGCGACTTGAGCTCACTGTGATGTGATGAATTGATAGATTACTTCCTCGGTCCCATTAGCCGTTGATATCCTTTTTCCTACCCCAACCATGACCCCATTACAACATTTAATCAAGACATTTGATTATGAACGTTAATTTCTTGATGAATTGTGGAGTTGATTTGATTAGCTTGCAAGCCTATGAGATTCGTCGTTTACTTCATGTGCTTTGAGTGAATATAGCCTAAACACTTGAGGGTGAGAGCTTTACTTATATATATTCCACATTTGGTGAGGTTAGTTAGTTCTTGCAAGCTTTGAATCTAACGTAGTTGATGACACGACTAAGTGACTTTTGTGCTAGTGAGTATCTCAATTCTTGGTTTGGACATATGCTTAGGACAAGCATGGAATAGGTGTAGGGGAATTGATATGTGTTATATATGATAATATTTTGTTATATTTTGGGCAATTTTTTTATGTGAAATTTTGTATATGTGCTCCTCATGGTGTATTTTTTATTCTGTAATAGGTTTCATAAAGTTGACAAGTTTTGAGACATATTTGAGAGAAAATGAGCAGAATACATAAAGGCCTTATGCGTGATCACGCAAGTACACAATGTAAAAAATATGAAAATTTACAAGAAGACCCTCCATAGTAAATTGGAAATATAAAGATTATGTGGGGATTTAATTGCAAATGGGGATCTAATTTCTAAAGGGATCATGTGATGGAGAATTAAAAGACACGATTTTGCAATTGAAGAGGGGGAGAGAAAGGGACTACCACATTCTTCACCACGACACCAATTTCTTAAAGAGAAAGGGAGAAACAAGAGCACGACAGAGCAGAGAACTTGGAGAATGACTACAGACGACTTTTCGGGGCATTCTTCTTCTATTCTAATATTGTTTCTTCCTTATCTAATTCTAAAGAATTGAAGGCATGATGAACTTTTTCAATTGTTTTATGTTTCCGATTTTCATGGATTGTAAATAATTTATTTTCTAACTTATCTATGAATTAAAGTTTGGGATATAAATGTGTGAGACTTTGTTTTGATTTTGATTTGATGTTTATTTGTATTAGGTATGTTTAATTTCTCTACTTGGCGAGATTAGAAATCTTAAATCGATATTTGAGGTCACGTATTAGTTTGAGATTTCATAGCTATACTGAAGATTGACACCCGTAATTAAATAATCTTTCAATTGAAGTAGCAACCTAGAGGAAGAATACTCTAAGGAGGAATTAAAATCAATTTCAAACAAATTCTCGTAGGAATGTGGTTAAATTGAATTGGATCTTTCTAGTTCTCAATGTTGTCGAGTCAGCAATACTACAGTCGTACATAGAATTCTCACTCGATTAGGAAAATAGCTAACGGTCGTACCTTAGCTATAAAAAAAAGTAACGAAATGTTGGTCGTGAATGCGTGTAGATCAACTATAACCAATTTATCCAATAAACCAATAAACTTGATTATGATCGATGAACAAATTTTTAAATCAGATGTGAATTATAAACAATTGTCTATACTTCGATTGAAACAAGACTTAGAAAGTAGTTAGGTTGTCAATTGTTCAGAGAAGCCTATGGAAAATACGGAAAAAAAAAATATATTGTTAAAGCATTTTATTATCGTCTAAACACACAAAATGTATATATAGTCAATCCGTGTTCACAACTCGAGTTAACTCACATTATGCTTTTACGACCAGAAATATGAAAAATGCATCACAAAGTACTTTTAAAACAACAAGAAATGTGAGAAATACACCACAAGGATAATCGGACAAACAAACGTAATTAACTAATTATTGTTTGTCTATGGGAAGGAGAAGCCATTGGCAGTGGATCCTCCATCAACAGATATAATCTGTCCGGTGATATACGAGGCTGCCGGGAGGCAGAGGAAAGCCACCAAGCCTGCCACTTCTTTAGGCTCTCCGGCACGCCCAAGTGGTGTTTCGGTTTTTACCTTATTGGCCAGCGCTGTATTATGCTCCAGCATCTGAAATTGAATTACTATTAATTAGAGAAGAAGCTTTCTTACTTGATTAAGCATTGGATATATATACACACAAAAGAGAAGACTTACAGATCCGACGGCTGGCGAAGTGATGAAGGAGGGAGTGATGGCGTTGACCCGAATGTTGTCCTTCGCCCACTCGCAGGCTAAGTTCTTTGTGAGTTGGTTCACGGCCGCTGTAGGATCATATCATATATTTACAAAATGAGATGATTTGTTTGCTGGAAATGCAATTGCTATATATGAATTAAATACCTTTGCTGGCTCCATAAATGGATCCGACAAAGACATGGGTAAGACCCGCAACAGAGGAGATGAAGACGATGCTGCTGTTGCCGGCGGCCTTGAGAAGAGGATGAGCAAGTTGGGACAAATGGAAGGAGGCTTCAAAGTTGGTAGACATCACTGACGCATAGTCTTCAGCGGTGAAATCAACAGTGGCCTTGAACACATTAGTCCCGGCATTGTTCACCTACAATTCCAATTCCAATTACAACCTTTCACTCAATTTCCATATCCATCAAATCAAAATTGAAATCAAAATCAAAATGAAAAAATGAAAACAGAGTATTAATTAGCGAATGACCACTTACAAGGATGTTGAGCTTGCCATTGAAAGCAGAGGAGGCGCTCTCGATGAGCTTTTCCCTCTGTTCCCGGGAAGACATATCGCAGACGGAGCCACCCACTTTGTAGCCCTTGGAAGTCCACTCCTGCAGGCGCTGGTTCAGATCCTCGGCGCTCCTGGCGCAAGTGTAAACGTGCGCACCCAATTCAGCCAGTTCTTCCACAATCGCCTGTCCGATGCCGCGAGTCCCGCCGGTAACCAGAGCGGTGCAGCCGGAGAGCGACCATCTGGAGTTTGAACTCGAACCCTTTGCTGCCATCAGATCAATTTCGCCGGCCGGACTGTACGGTTTTCTTAGGGTTCTTAAGACTTAGGGTTTGTTTACAGTAAGTAAAGTGAAGTAAGTAGGTTGGACAATATGTAATAGGTCCGATCCGATCTTATATATATATAGAATAGTGATTGAATAGGTATGGATCTCCATGGAAGACTTTTCTCTCTCTCCCATTCCCATTGCCATTTCCATTGTGAGCTGTATGTAATGTATGACCAGGAAAGACGGTGCAAATGGTCATAGTAAAAGTCGTGGTTATGTGGACACGATTTTTCGATTAACTCGCTGTGTGGATAGCCGTATCACAAGGAAATACGTTTTCTAGAAAACGGTGTTTCTAGAAGAGTCAAAGTCAGATCTCAGAAAAGTCATATTAAGCCAGCGGGATTTTCATTTTTTTAATAAGAATTTTTGTAATTAAATAAAATCTTGATTTCATATCCAGATATTAATGTTTATTATCATTATTCTTAATATCATATCATATCATGTGTATATATATTCATATTTGTTAATATTTTTTATTTAATATAATTCTATATAAATATATTTTTTTACTATTATAGATATTTAGTTTTAATAGTGTACTATTATAGATATTTAGTTTTAATAGTGTATATTTATGATATTCATCCATAATTATAGAAATTTAAATTGAATTTTGTAAATTTGATTTTATAATTAATTGTATTCCTTATATATATATCATCATCATCATCAATAATCAATATAATTAAATGAATAAAGCATGAATACGATTTTTCTGTTATAATTATTTTTTTATGTCTATTGGAGCCTAAGTCCAAATTATTCAAAATATGGAAGGTATTCTACAGTCGAAAATTTATCCAGAAACAGTCTTTCTATAAAGCAAAAAAAATTATTACCTTCACAGAGCTGAAGGTTATAACTTTGATTAGATTGTTGTGCTTTCACAAAACAAAAGAATATTGTCTCAACAAGACGAAAAGCCGATTTCATAGATCTTGTGTTGGAAAATCGGTTAATTATTTAATCGATTAAATTTATTTTTTAAATTAAATTCATAATTTCTGGAACCAGTTATTCGGTGAGTTAAAATGTATGTGGGTTGTATGGTGGTTATTGATAGTGTCTTAGGCATATAAATGCGGGTAAACCACAGGCGCGCATGCCATCCGTTTGGACCAGATAATTACATAGCATGTATGATAAATAATTATTTGAAATTCAAAATTCAAATAATATATTTATGACCGGAATTAAATTTGGCGTTTATTGTCGGACGTTACCTAAATTATGACCGACGATTACAAGCCATTAAAAGCCGACAGTTTCGGCTCGACATTAAAATTCCAAAGGTGCAAATGCCGATAAAAGGCCCCCTCACACCCATTTCAATACACACCAATTTTCTCTACTCTCCATCTCTAATCCTCTCTTCTCCGGAAAAGCTTTCGGGCGAGTTTTTTGGTTAAGTTTTTCGGCGACTTCCTAGCTTTAGCCTCTCAACACGGTGTATGTTCACCACTTTTTAGTTTGTCGAAACTCTGAAATATTGAGGTGCAACCTAATTCGGAAAAGAATGTCGTTTTATCTTTGGGAATGTTGCGCCATGAACCGGGCACTACCGGCGCGTATTCGTTTTTACAGAGAGAGGTTCTACCTCAACTCGACGTGATTATCGAATTTATTTCGATGAAATTATTGTAATTATCAAATTTATTTGATAAATTGATTATCGAATTTATTTCAATGAAATTATTTTAATTATCAAATTTATTTTGATAAATTGATTATTGAATTTATTTCAATGAAATTATTTTAATTATCAAATTTATTTTGATAAATTGATTATTGAATTTATTTCAATAAAATTATTGTGATTATCAAATTTATTTTGATAAATTGATTATCGAATTTATTTTGATAAAATTATTGTGATTATCAAATTTATTTTTATAAATTATTATTGATTATTAAATTTATTTCGATAAATACCTTTGATATTGAATTTTATTTATCGATAATTATTAGATATTTTCGCGGTATAATAATTTTCTAACACCTTGTGGCAGCAACCTCCATTACTCATAGAGGAACAAAATCTTGGGATTATGATGCCCTATCCCGAAATAATGCTTCCACGAGATCGAAGATTGCTGCTTCAGCGGAACCACGAACAAGAATCTCCATTGGTCCTGGCTTAGCAATTTGGTACTAAACATCAATGGAAGATCCATACCTTTCATGTTTTATTCGAAAGGCTCCATGGGGACAAGCCGACAAGAGAAAAGACCGAACACTCCATATAACTCGAGACTGTTGGGAACAAAATTCCGTAGACCGGCTAAGGGTGTTATGGAGACAATTCGGGTTAAGCCATCGAGGCGGTTTAGGACGAGTGGAAGCCGGTTCAGATGCAATGGAGGCGGTTCAAAGCAAATCCAGCAATTGAGAATTGAGATGAGAGGATTACGAGGCGGTTGGAAGTAGTGGAAGGAATAATTAAAACTACATTTTTAGTAGAAAAGATGGTTAATTGATCTTAGAAATATATCCAGTAAAAAACACGCAACACACACACACAAGAAGAACAACTCGAATATTTCTCTACTTTTTCTATGTTTTTAGTTTTCGTTTATGCATTTTAATTCGAATTAAATGATTTTATGTTTTGCAATTTGTTTTACATGCTTTCCATAGATTATCTTGGTGTAGTTCGATCAATCGCGCGAGATCCTAGTGACCCGACGACGGATTGGTTCTTTTGAGTACTTTCAGAATCTGACGAAAAATGATTTTGGAGTATCCGAATTTTAGATTAAAACAATTTCATAATAAAAATAATTTTTTTTGTAATATTTTTACAAATTTCAATGCTATTTATTTATCTGAAAAATAGTAAAACAATTGCATTAAATGTTTATTTTTAATTTAAATATGTTATTAAATATATTTCTGAAATATAATTGAACATATTTATTTAAGGGAGACTTGGTCTGCACTCCCTGTCAGTAGTGTAGAATTTACATTCAGTCCCTATTATTAAAAAGTTGATCTACACTCCCTGTCAGTAGTGTAGAATTTACATTCAGTCCCTATTATTAAAAAGTTGATCTGCACTCC